AACGCGCTCAAGCCAGGCAATAAAAGCATTCAGCCGAGATAAATGAGCTATGGCTGCTTCCATAGTGAGAAATACAGAATGCAAATGTTCTCTCACAGAGGAGAAGTTGGAAAAGAACCTCAATCCAAGACTGCTTTTTAACCTTCCATAGGATAAGGAAGACTGAAGATAAGGCTTTTTTTAAAGTTTCTGAAAAAAACAAAACAAACAAACAAAACCAACCCAAACTTTCATAGCTTGGTTATAATGGCCAGATTACATACAAGAAGAACAGATGCCTCAATCACAGAAAAAAGTAGATTTGCAGGAAAAGGTCTGAAGAAAATCAGATAAACTTTTAGCTTGAATAAATTCTTTTGTTTCTTGTTACTGAGCATATCCCTAGAAAACTGAAATTTGCACAGTATCATTATATGCTGATAAAAGGCTGGATCACACACAATATATGAATTTTCTTAGATGTTTCTATTTTCAGCACTTATTTCACTGAAGGAAAACATTTCTTCGAGGGCTGCAAATACTAATATTAGTTTTCATTTCAGTAGCAAGACAAATGCTGTTAACCAGCATTAAACAAAAAGCAAAAAAAATTTGCTGATTCAAACTGTATCTTAAAGTTACAAGGGAAAAGTAGGTAAAATATAAATTGAATTTTTAAATTTTTTTCTTCAGAAAATACACCCACTCAGGACAACACATTAGTAATACTTGTTTATGATGAAGAAAGGCTTTATGAACCTAAATACTATCCTACCTCATAATCAGTTCAGATTTAGAATTTTACTTCCTTGGGGGTTTTTTTGTTTGTTTTTTTTTTTTAATTATTCATTTTCCAGAGCAGTGTTCAAAAGGCTATTTTTATTTATTAATCTTAAAGCTGCTGCTTGATTTTAAGCCATAAACAATAGAAATTTAACTGCAACAAAGGAAAATAACTATACTTTCTTTTTATATATATAAAAGAGTTGAACTCAAACTCATTTTACAACAGTATGCTATCACAAAAGTTGATTATTTTATCACAGAAACTTAAAAAATATGTAGGACTTTTGTATTATCACTAGCCAGCTTTCTATTTGGAAGAAAAAAAAATAAAAAGAAAGATAACTTATCTTTCTTCTATTTCACAGCTGTCAGTGTCTGGGCAGATGGCAAGGACAAAATGTAATTTAGTCAGAATTCATTAAGTACAATTAGGCAATTTGATAGCAATATAAAAGATTAAGATGGACATCTGAGCTAGGAGGTGTCAAAGACGGCACCTGTTTGCTTCGTTCAAAAATAATGAAGAAAGAAAACCATCTTTGTTAACAGCTACTCTACTGGCAAAGTAAGTTACCTGCAGGAACAGATCTTTGTGATACAACACTGTGATATGGTTGCACATGAACAGTCATGTAGAGAAAAATCTATTGCTCTGCCTGGTAAAAAATAGGTAACATTAATGTGATTAATGTGATTCGGATCTCAAGCAAGGTATAATGTCAAAAAAAGAGGCCTAAACCCTCCTAGCCTTCCAATGCTACCATTTCTGTTTATTTTCTGTTATAGGAAAAAACAGAATTGAAAATATTCATTTTGTTGATTTTTTGCAAGGACGTCTATCATTAGACTGGACATCACGACACGTAATACTTACGTAAATTCTGTCCTTGCTGTACCGAACTTTGATATTGTGAAGGAGAGTGGCTTCATTTAAATACATAAGGGAGCCTGCAAGACAATCATATACTGTTAAGAGACCAGGACTAGCTTTGTGTACAGCCAAACAACTAAATTTTAGGATTATAGAGAATTTTATTTCCCCTCTCTTTGGTGACATTTTAATCCTATCATTTTTTTATACTGTCTTGAGGAGAACTGCTGATCCAATATATGTTTTAAAAACCATAGACCTGCTCTTTACTCTAAAATTAAATTTACAGAAAGTTGCTGAACAAGGAATCAGACTGCAGGAGCCTCGACACAGGCCCTGCTCGGCGTAAGCTCCCTTTCACCAGCCTTTCAGATGAACACGGTGTGTGTCCCACCACGCCATCCTGTCAGCGCAGAAACTGGTGCTACCAAAATCCCTAATGCCCACCATTTCCTTCCTTCCAGTTCCCCTCTCCAATCTCTGCCACAGTGTCCACAGGGTAATACCATCTAACGGACCTTTAGAATAACTGCTGTGTCCTGGTGATTTTTAGATGCTTATATTCACCGACTGATTCAGGACACACTGTCCCAGAGCCAGCAGCAGGCGTCACTGCCACACCAGGCACCAACACAATCTTTCACGTTTCAGTTCTGAATTTTGTTGCTACTAGGCCTCCTCAAATAAACTTTTGGGGAGGGGGTGGGAAATGTAACACAACAAAGGCTATCTATTTTTTCCTTAGCTCATTAATATAAAATAACCAACTCGGCTGAAATGGTACAAGGCATCAGCTCCAGGCAGCAAGCAGGCACCCACAGAAAGCTTCAGGCCACATGGGTTCACATTCTTGTAAAGCTGGTCCTTGTTTTCAGCTAGAAAGCACCGGAAAGTGTTAGCAGCCTTAATTACAGAGGTCATTACCAGTTCCCCTTGAAACAATATTAAAACCAATATCCCTAAACCAGCTGAGAGCACTAGCCATTACACAACTTCCATTTTCAAATACGCTCAATCCTCTTTCTCACTGCTTAAAATTCAAGTGCATAACACTATTTTGTCTCATTACAACTGATGGACTACCAGACCGTGTTACAATATTAGCGTCACTTGAAAAGTTGTACGCGTCTGACTGCTGTCGATGGAGTAAGCATTGCGCCTGTACTGTAACTGCCACCCCTGCCTCACACAAGGGCCACATATGCGTCACCTGTCTACAACAACCAAGTTGTTCCTCAAGTGGGACACATGCCCTTTCTCAAGGGCTCCAGTAGAGAAAAATACATTCCAACTTATTTACACAAACGTGCAAGAAGGGCTCCCCATTCTTATGACCTGAAGTCAACCTGCCCTGCAAGGATGCCTGAAGCTCAGTAAGCAGCTCTTAGTATCTCCTTCAATGCTCCTCCTGATGAACCAAAAGATACCGGCAAAGGATAATGAGAGCTTCTCAAAAGCATCTGTGGTTTTGTTTTCAATCTTATATCCTTCCTTCTGTGGTGGACAAAGGAGTGACTCCACCTCCTACCACTGGCCTGAAGCAAAGAAAGGATGAGCAGCCATTTGCAGCCTCCCTCTGGCTTGCATAACTCCACTGAGTAACAGCCCTTCCTTCCCTTGCATGACATTACATTGCCCCCTCCCTGGAAGTGTTTAAGGAAAGGTTGGATGAGGTTTTGAGCAACCCGGTCTAGTGGAAGGTGTCCCTGCTCATGGCAGGGGGGTTGGAACTAGATGATCTTAAGGTCCCTTCCAACCCACACCATTCTATGATTCTATGACTAAATATAGCTTTGCTTCATATGGCTGGAGTCATTCACGCTTCTCAAAGGACCTTGCAACTTCTGGGTTGTTTAAAAGAAACCATCTTCCTCTGCAAAATCCCCTGTGTGTACACCCCAATGCTGGTGGAGGCACACAAAGGCACACTTCAGCTTTACGCTAAGCAGAACCTCCCTTTGGACCACAACAGCCTTGAAATCAGGCCTGTGCACAACACCGTCATGAAGGAGGAGGTCTGCCCCGATCTCCATAGCCTACACCCTACACCACCCACTAACCACGCAGTCACTGGTACTTGCGGCAACTGAGCACAGGCGCCTAGCGCTGCACAGTGGGACTTCTCCTCCCCTCCCCAGGCATAAGGGACCTGCCCATTTCTGTGCTCCATTGGGCTGAGAAAATGGCACTGGGACCACAAATTGCAGCTCTGCCTCTGCAGACCTCCTTCTGCCTTTACCTCTTTAATGAGGTCATCCCAAGAGAAAGAGACATTACAAGGAAACAGGCCAGAAACAGAAACTCTTCCTTGCTCGACTGAAATTTAAGATCTCCTTCTCCCCTTGTGTATGCCTTGGAGGAGGCTGGATGTAACTTTTGAAGTTTGCTAATTTTGTTAAGTTATTTGGATTCTCAGTACTCAGTTCAGAAACTGCTATATAGTAATTGCCTACGTACACTTAAAGAAAGAAATCCTCTCCCTTTTCTGTATCTTCCTAAGAACCTCTCAGGGTTTGCAGTATGTTTTAAAGGAAACAGTCATCAGTTAAGAATCCTAATAAAAACTCGATAATTATCTAAACAACAAAGGACCCCAGATTTCAGTGTGTCCCCAATACTCTCTTTGCAACTCCTTGTTAAAGCAGTTATACCTGCAGACTAGTGCATAATGGGAGCTTGCTCCCTGAGGGAACGTCACGCCTTCACTCAAGACATGCAAACGAAGGCTTAGATCAGCAACTTCAAAATACATATTCTTTAGAATAAATCCTTTAAAAGAGGCATCCATATCCAGAGGCAAAGGAAGTCATCAGAGAAAGAATTCTGAATATTCATATGGCTCATGCCTAAATATAACCAGTGTATGTGCCTTTAATAGTCCATATATTTATGTATAAACACACACAAAGTTCACAGAAGTGAAGCCAGGCACTAAAAGCCCGGAAATATCAATGTCAAATTTACTCACACTGGCTCTCCTGCGCACACAATGAAGTAGGTTTTGTTTGGAAAATAATTTTATCATCTAATTGCATGGCTCTGCGTCTGTAGAACTATTTTTTAAGATTCATATCTGACAGTCTGCCCCCCTTATTTTTTTAGAAAAATTGTTTCACCCCAGGAATTAAAAAAAAAAAAAAAACAAAAACAAAAACAACAACAACAACAATTTTTTTCTTAAACATAAAAAACCCAAAAATTCCACATATGGTGACAACCCTCAAAGATGAGTGGGGTTGGGATGGGGAGCAGAAAAGGAGTGCGAATCCTCCGCCCCTCGCCCCAAAAAAACCCAAACCAGTAAATGCTTTGTCTCTGTACTTTTTGCAATATTTACTGAAAATTCACATTTGAGGAAGGGCTAGATTCTCAAAAAGGTGTGCCTTACAGCTAGTGCATTTGGGATATGGAAGACTAAGGGTGCAAAAAAGCCATACTTCAGCAAATTACTTCCTGGAAGTTAGTTAATCACTAAAGGATAGGTTGGAATGCTAAGTGTATTATTAACTAGTTTTTCAGGATTTTTCAGAACAGTATCATAAGCAAAGAATGAAAGCAGTCAGTATTTTATAGTTTCTTCTTAAAGATTAATGATGCTCAGCACAAATGCTCTCTGACAGAGAAGAAAAATGAAATTGTGTTTCACACATCCTGGAGATAAATCTCAAGTAGTGAACAAAAAGTGAGACTATGTTCTAAAAGTCTCAAAATAGAGTCTGATACAGAAAGGATTACTGGACAAGGCATTTTTAAGTTTTATATTTTACTCAGCAAGAAGACGACATTTTCTCTGACACGAAGACTGCTTTAATTTAATTGAATAGTATTTTGCTGGAATCTCAAATTACTTCCATAATCTCATTCCAAATTTCAATTCCCTGACTAGGACACTGAGGTGCCAGGACATCTCAGTAAAACCACTGTGACGGATGCAGAGATTAAATGCATTTCCCTAACAATCATCATGTACAGAGAATACAGATACCAGCTTTGAAAAGTTTCAACCCACATGATGTTTGTAAAAATACAAGCAACTAAAATCAAGGCTACCAGCTTGGTTCCACCTGTAATGATGCTGTACCATCTAAGTCAGCCATAAGCCTCAGGCCTCATCTTCTTGTTCCTTATGGAGCAGCTGTAACAGCTGTATTTCCTGTCATGGGATATAAATACTAACCTCTATTCCAAAACAGGAATTATGGTTAAATCACCTAAACAACTAAGTCCTAGCCTCTATTTTAAATGAAGAACAATAGAAAATACTTTTGCTCACCATTTACAAAGTTACCAGTATTTTCACCAAACAGTAAATACCATGAACAATTTTTAAAAGAATCGCCTTCATCAGGTTTTCAAGATAGCAGAGTCTCTGTGATTCGCTCACAGAGGAACAGCAGCAAAATATTTGTTTAACAGCTCTCTTAAAGCTGATGCTAGTGTTTACTCACCTTTCTTGGTACTCTCCAACCCAGATTTGAATATTGTATTTGTTTCCACACTTCCAACTAAAATATTTAACAAAATAAAAGCCCTGCAGATCAACCCTGAAGTTCATTACACAGGTTCATCTCAAAACTCCTTTTCCAGCAGCACTCCTGTATCCGATTCACTACAGCCTATTTCCTTTTCGAGTGGACCCAGTGGGTCCAGATTCCTGTCTCCAATTTTGGGAAGGTTACCTTAAAATTTGTTTTCAATTACCTGTACTTCCACAGGAATGCTATCTGAGAAATGGGTTACAGGCAGTACAATACCACTGCTGCACTACAAAAGATACAGTTAACCCCCATAATGTTGTATGCAGTTGATCCTGATGCAGTTAGGTGTCAGTTGATACATATCCGAAGTCAAGTAAAAGTTGTATGTGGGAATAACGTAACTATGAGTTCCTCTAAAGTGTTCAACTGAAAACTAAAAAATACAATAAATTATATTTAAAATAGGCTCTACTTTAAGAAGTTTAAAGGACTAGTAGAGGTCATACATAAATTAAAACAAAAAAGCAAAGCAAAGACTACAAGGAAGAAACAGGAAGCTTGTAAGGAAACAATATTCTATTCTATGCAGGTATTTTTTTCAATGCGTAACTTACAATTATCTTCTACATCTTTTTTGCTGTCTTCTTCTGCAGGAAACACTTGATTGATAGCAGCCTGGAAAGTCTGTTAGATTAAAAATATTAACATTGTCAGAATTCCATAACAATAGAAATATAGTTCAAAGATTTCTGATGCAATACAAGTGAGTGCACTGTAATTGTGCATGGTTTAAAATGATGTTGCCAGCTTTACACTTTAGCATCGGAAATTTACTGATTTACTAGATGCAAACAGGAGCTGCTGCATTTACATTACTACACTACATTATAAAAATGCAGTCACTGTCATATATATTTTTATTGCAATAATATTTGATGCTCATTTCCAAGATTGCACATAATATTGCAATATTGTGTAATATAAAAAATAAGAATAAAGTACTGCAAAGGGAACAGCATTGTAAAGGATGCACAACATCCTCAGTTTTGCAAAGAAGCACAAAGAATAAAAAACAAATTATTAGTTTAGTCAAAGGACTCTGCTATCATTATCATAAGCTGTTTTAAAACATTCCTACTTAAAATATAAATGTTCAATACATAGTATCTGCTGTATCCCCAAATATTGCAGCTTTGGTTGTTGCTTGTTGGGTTTTTTCCTTCAATACATCAATACTAAAGTAAAACAAGACTTTCCTTCAACCCTTATATTCCAGTTATACAAAACAGCCATTTATCAAGTGTTGATGTCCAACTGGAAAAATTCATAACAAAAGCAACTTTGTTTCTTCTTTATTCTCCAGAAATCATAATTTATATTGTTGTAAAAAGGAAGGAAAAACATCCTAGCACACATGCATTACAGCATCTGCACAAAAATACCTATTGTAAGAGGTAGGCTTTTAATTATACTTTTTTGTTTACTGTAGTAACAGCTTGTTTGAGTTACCTATGAATGAACAAAAACCCTGTTGTACCAATTAAACATGACAGCCGCCATGCTGCTGCAGGCACAAGCTCCTTTTCCCCATGGAAATGGGGACAATAAGTCTAGTCTAATATTTGAAAAAGCAATCAACTGGATCTAAAAGAATGACCTTAATAAACAAACATGTTGGCCTGTTTAACATTATACTCAGAAAGACAATCCCATGAGAAACATCTCACACAAAAGCGTAGGAGAAATACAGCAACTTGCTTCATCTTTGCTTCAGTACAACAGACACAATATATGGGCTCTTGTAGCTCACTCCATCATGAACAGCCACAAATTCCAATGCTCTTTGAAGTGGGAAGAGTTAAAATATCTTGGAGCAGAACTAATAGCTGACAGTTGGAAAACAGTAAGTCTGTGATATCCCTTGCCAGCAAAGTTATCACAAAGTATGCAATGTGTAGACATAATAAATTATATTTTGTAATCCCTTATCAGAAAATGCAGAAAAATATTCAGAAGAAGCTTTCCTACGGGAAACGGAACTGCTTGATGATATTGGAACATCTGAACATCCATCAGACCAACCTCCTCCAAAATCTCCTTTATCAGAGCTTAGGGGAACTGTGGAGGACCCTGAACATCTTTACCTACCTCAGAAAGTTGCCAGTTGCTGTTCAGAGTTTTAGCAGGGCAAAGATTCACCCACCTTTCCTCACTCTCAAAATATTGCATCTAGAACGTATTATCATAATAAATTTCTCTGCAAGTTTGTCAATAATAAAGGTATATCTTGTTGGGTAAAGATATATCTGAACACAACAGCTTCCCACGCATTCAGTTCACTGTGCATGAAACAGTGAAAAAGTTTTAAAAGAGCATGACTGGCTTCAGGAAAATCTAATTTCACTTCTTGGTCTTGTCTGCTGATGTTTAACCCAGGTTTAACCACTCACAAAGACAGAAGGGCTTTTTCAATATCCTCACCACTTGGTCTTCTGATCCCAGATAAACTTCAATGGGGGGGAAAAAAAAAAAGAAAAAAAAAAAAAGAAGAGAGAATTCATGCTGTATTGTCCCCTACTTCATTTTTTCACTCAATATGAATTGTGAATTAATTTATAGAATATTTCTGAAGTGATAAAACAAGCAATATGAAGAAGACTTATCTGAAAGCTGATGATTTCCTGCTGGGCTTTTTTAGATCAGAATGTGAAGCCTGAGTTTCAACTATGTCAACAAAGAATTTCAGCCCTATATGTCACAGCTGGAATATTCCTTTAGGTAAGGTGATTACTTGTTACGTAGGTAAGTATGTTAGCTAGATGTGCAGAGTATTGCCTCTGCTGTGAGTATTGCCAATTCATATTAAAATCTGATCTATTAAACAGGAATATGAGTAATGTGTACCAGATTTATCAAGAAAAAATTATCCAAAGAAATTCTTTACCACATTGTCCCTTTAAAAAAAAAAAAAAAAATTGCAAGGAGAAAACACTTGAGGCATTTGGTGGAAGACTTCTGCACTAAGGCATATCTTAGGACATACTTGTTCTAAGACAATGGAGAGGTTATTAATCTTATGAGATACTAACATGGTCTCAGGAGGCTAAATGGTGGGTTTAGGGTTTTTTTGTAGGGTTTTTTTTCCTCTTTGTAATGAAACAGACCTTGAAATCCAATGGCAATCTTAATTATTCTGCCAGAAACTAGATGAGCGAAAAAAGATATCTTTCCATTCAAGCAGGATCTTCTTTCTACCATGTAATCCAATACATGTAACCATGCCTTCCTTAATACCTTCCAGATACAGACAAGAAACTTCTCTACTCAGCTGTTTCACAAACCAACCTAAAGCAGTACAAATGGTGTATAAGACAGACAAGAACATGTCTCATTTGCACAAGCAAGCTGCACTCACTGCTGGAAAAACATCTTAGCCTGAAACACTGAACTTTGGACATTCTAATCCTTACTTTCAAAGTACATTTATTCATTTATACTTAGCCCAGGAAAATACCTTTCTGGTTATTCACAGCATACCAGAGCAGATGCCCCAGAAAGCCCTCCATGACCCTTCAGAACTGGCACAGAGCCATAAGGTGCCTCACAGCTGATAGCAGGAGGGGTGTCAGCAGGTGCCTGCAGCACCCAGCACCTTCTCAACAACTGCCAGAAACTCACGACTGCTGGTGCTCTAGGAAACGCCTGCCCCACACTCCTCATTGCCAAATGGATCCTGGGATGCCATCTCAGGGTGCAAGTGCCTTCAAGGCATCTCTTCCTAATTGCTTTACTTAGGTTTGCCACCTCCAGGAAAAGAGTAAATTCCTCATTTGGCAATTTTGCTGTCATCTGCCTTCTCCCTGTTACAGCATCAAGCAACACAACAAAACAAGAAAAATGCAACAGGATCTGAAGTAAGTTCAGAAAAGTACACTCCAAGTAGAAGTGTAAATGCAATACTAGTTGGATTTAACAACTGGCTGCCTTTCTACCCGCCTCCTTCCTTGTACGTGGGTGTGCGAGTGCTGGTGGGACACGGGCCAGGGCTGCCAGCCCTGGCTCTTTGGTCTGGTTCAGAGCTCATCCTCAGGGAAGCGCTCCAGCCCTAGGTGAGACCACACTCATTAGCAAACCACTCTTCAGTTTCTCTGTTTCCTTTCCATTTGTGGCATCTATCAGCCTTGCAAGCCGATGATCTAGTTTTCAGGGAGTAGCTCCCATGGTGTAACTCATGCATCCTCTGTTCTGATAACACACTCCTGCAGCTTGAATTACTCTTCTTTGTACAGTGCAGGCTGGGTGACTCAGATCCCCACCTCTCTTTAGATACCCAGCCTCCACGTAGAAACGTAAATGCTGCTGTTAACTCTGTATGGGCTGTGGTACTCAAAACTGCTATAGCTGGTTTATAAGTAAATCAGTGCCAACTACCTTCACCCAGTCTGGACCGGGGAACTTGGTTTCACAATATAAAGCCATTAGTGGTCATACTGGCCTCTGGTCCTCTGTCCTCCAGCCACTGCTTGCTGCGACCTGAAAACTTTCCACTTCTTCATTTTAGGTGGATCTGTTCCCTGACCTCATTTGCTGTGTCACGCACAGCTCGGCAGGCAGAGCTGAGAGGGTGCCACTCTGCAACGCCAGAGCTAGCCACGGGTGGGGAAGGCAAAGATTTTAAGACCATCAAACTGCTGCCTTGCAGCATTCACTGCAGTTATTAACAATGTATTTTAATTAACCATTAAGTGGTATAAAAGGCAATAATAAAACATATGCATACACATTTCCTTTACAGCCTGTGATCTCTGGTAAACTACCACCATCTACAGAGAATACATACGACATGTTAATGACCCAGATTAAAAAATAATAATAAGTTACACTGCCCAGATACGTTTACAAGATCAGGTTACTCCTCTCCTCCCTGTAATTATCATGGGCAACTCTGGAGCTGCTGGATCACTCCTTCTTACGGAACCACACTTTTGAACTATCATTTTAAGTAAACAAAGGTGATCGTATTGGGCATCGATGCTGACTACTTCAAATCAATGGTCTAAGAGCACAAGAACAGAGCCTTCTTAAAAAGACAAAAAGCAATGAGAAACGTTTCACTACAAAAGAAATCAATGATGCCTTGAAAAGACTGAGAAGGTAATCAAGAAAATGTTTTACTCCACCTCTATTAGTATGAGGAAGTTTGATAATTAGAAATACAGGACCATAATCTCTATGGTATTTAAACTGTGAAGTGTTTGTTCCCTTCAGTGAGTGAACACAGGCCCTGAACTGACCTGCTTAATTCAAGAAAACAGCCAACAGCAGAATAACAAGCTTTCTAGACAAAAGAGATTGTTCACTGTGAACCACGAAGCAAAATATTTGTGTTTTAGGATATTTTTTTGTTCTCACACACACACACAAAAAAATATATTCCCCAAGAAGAGCCTATGTTAGAAATAAACAGTGGCTCAGGAACCTCCTCAGTGCCTATTTCTTTTTCAATATACATACTTTTGCTCTTTATCACATCAGAACCGTTTGGGGATATAAATAGAAGCAGCAGCAGGGGTCAAAATCATTTAAGTCAGTTAAACACTATTTAGCCATAGCTTTGGAATATGTAATATTCTTATCTGAATAATTTTGCTCTTCCCTAAACTGAAGAATACTACTAAACCTAAAGAGTTTCTCTCTCACACACAAAAATGAGACATTACATTTGCTCTGTATTTCTAAGGAAAGCAAAATCAATTTCCTCTCCAAGATGTATAAAAAAGAAAGCCTATAAACATTCCCCCAAAAGGAAGGGCTGCTGCATAACCTTTTGACCTGTGACAAGGCATTCTCTACTATTGTTGATGTGAAAAAAGAAGTTACAAAAAACATTTTGTCTTTTCCATACCTGAAGATACAGTAAGGACCAAATTGTTAGAAAGGGCACACATCACATACTCACAAAGACCAAAAACACAACTTTTAAAACAGTGTCTGATCTTATTCCAGATAGATAGTAAAAGCCAGGATGCTGATCACCTGAATTAGGATAATTGATAGATACAAGGTGCTTCCTACAAAAACTGGCATCTAATTACAACATACTGAATCTGAAAGATGTCATGATAAATGAAGTGGTTGGAACACACTAATTAGGATTAATTAGGACTTCATTTTTAAAGTTACATTTATTTTGCCTTTCATTTTATGTAGCAATTCCATAGGACCTTTTTTTGACATCGTGTTACTTCTCAAGATACTTGAGGTAAGAGGATTCATCTCTCAATCTTCATCAGTCTAACAGTAAGGTGTCTAATCTAATCTAAGAGTCTAGGACACCCCTGTAGGACACTCTCCATGCATGTAAGGCGAGAGAAGCTAATCTCAACAGTAGACTCTTAATCAGTTTCTAATTTAGAAAAATAGAGCATATAGTACTGAATCAAATGGCTACAGAGATTCAATCCTCCTCTCTTTCACAAGCACGTAAGCAATGCACAAGCAGGTAACTGACAGAAAGCATGAACTTCTTATCAGTGGGATATTTCATTTGCAATGCAAGCTAAAGCTAAACAAAGATCCTTAGCCAAACTTAGGACAGGAAACTGATTTTCCACTCCTTCAGGCTGTGTAACTGTAGATATTGGCAAAGATTTAGCCTACAGATAAAATAGTTTTTGTACAGTTTTTCTCCATTCCTTTGTTTGTGAGACACTTACCTTGCCTTTCTGATTCAAAGGTTCAATAGTCAAGTTGTCAGTGCCAATGTCCACAATCATCCCCATCTGAAATCCATCAGTTGGGTGTGGAGCCCAAACGGGCTTCCCGTCCTCCATTGTGGGATCTGTCCAGTATTTCCTGTAAGGAAAAATAAAAAAAAAAATTATACAAATTTAGTAAACTACCAGTATTCACTATACAGACTTTAGTTTATTATGCTTGTTCCTATTATTCAGTGTGGAAGAAGCCAGCCTCCAGACCAGAGCCAGTCAGTCAGGACAAGATTCTTTCACTCTTTTTCCAACTCACAACGCTTTCCTTATAGAGAACACCCTCAGACTTGAGTACTGAGAAGGTTCAAAAACAGATGACTTTTGGGGGGCTCCACGACTGCTCTTTCCCCAATTTCCCTAACTTGTGAACCAGAAAAGGAAGTCGATCTCATGATCAAAATAGAAGTACAAGACAGATTCAAAGCTAGGACTTTACTAGGAGTGCATATATACACATGTATACACGTGTATAGACATATATATATAAGTGCGTGCAGGGGGTCATAGGGTTAATGGATACTTGTCTGTACCTGATTTGGTGTGCAAATACTTGCATTTCTGTAACAGGCACATGTCGAGGCATGTGAGCAGAAATCCAGTCTCTTGTTATTTGAGATGAATGAACGTGTCCACTCTTTTCACGTGGCTGGGCACATGGCTTTTAAATAACCCATGAATATTTTCAGTCATAATTGATTTATCCTACTACAGGCCTTTGAGAGACTGACCTCTGATACTGTAACGTTACAACTCTGCCTCTTAAGGAACACAAACCTTACTTTCTATAAAAATATTATCAGAAAATTGTTTCAGAGCAATCTATGACGTACAAGTGAAATAGATGCAAAGGCCAAGACATTAAACCTTAGGCTCCTCAAGTTATGCAGCTAAATAAGCTCCCAATTAAAAGAAGTATTTGATTGCATGCAATGCTCATTGAGCTAACCAGGAAAGTTGCCAGGATTGGCACACTCTGAATGGCCAATGGTGCTATTTTAAATATGCTGAATTAGTCTTCCCACCCCCCCTTAAAAAAAACAACAAAAAAACCCCCACCAACCTACTTTATAGTTCTTACCCAAATAAGAATAGAGTCCACACAGATTGAAAGACTCACTTTCCTGGACATTTCTTACTCCTCTCCAAAACTCATCCACATACTAAACTGACACATTTTAGTGATTCCAAAATTTGTAAAAAGTATCTCATACGACCAAGGTGTAACTTGCCTCTCTCAGCATGAACGAAAGGCGCTTGCCAAGCAGCAAAGAAAACACTGCCAGCAAACTCCAGTCTGTACGCTAGGAAGCATGTCCCATAGTTTTCTTTTCCCACATTTGAAGGAAAAAGGAGCTTCAAAATTCCTCACAGCCAAAGGCTGCAGACTCCTTTGCCATAAGCACTGGCAAGGAAAAAGAGTCATCATCCCACCAGAAAATTGTACAACCATGAGCAGAAAAGGACACTCTTGTCCCATAGAGAATCTGCAAGAACATGGTGCACATGACCTTCTTTTAGCTGCCTCCAAGGACTTCAGAAAGGTTTGAAGAGAAGGAAAAGGCTTGCTGTAAACTGCTTTGTGAATGCTGCTGGTGTTAGCATCTTACTTGTCAAGGTATAAGACAATTTGCTGTTAACTTCAATGTAAAATAATAGAAGACAAAAAGTAATTCTAAAGCAAAGGCTCAGAATACAAAGTCAAACATTTTTTAAATTAAGTAGCGTTCTGAAGAGACTTTGAAAAAACTAGCTATAGAGCACGTAATTTAGTGTTGATGTCTGGTTTTGTGTTTAAATTTACTCAGTTAATCAGATTTCATAGAATCACAGAATCATAGAATTGCTTGGTTGGAAAAGACCTTTGAGATCATCGAGTCCAACTGTACCTGTCCACTATTAAACCATATCTCTGTGCACCTCATCTAGTTGTCTTTTAAACACCTCAAGGGATGGTGAGTCAACCACCTCCCTAGGCAGCCCATTCGAGTGCCTGATAACCCTTTCAGTGAAGAAATTTTTCCTGACATCCAATCTGTATCTTCCTTGGTGCAACTTCAGGCCATTGCCTCTTGTTCTATCACTAGTTACCTTGGAGAAAAGACACACACCTGCCTTGCTACAACCTCCTTTCAGGTAGTTGTAGACAGCAATTAGGTCACCCCTCAGTCTCCTCTTCTCCAGACTAAGCAACCCCAGTTCCCTCAGCCGCTCCTCATCAGACTTGTTCTCCAGCCCCTTCACCAGCCTTGTTGCCCTTCTTTGGACATGCTCCAGTAACTCAATGTCCTTCTTGCAATGAGAGGCCCAAAACTGGACACAGTACTCAAGGCAGAGCCTCACCAAGGCTGAGTACAGGGGAAGGATGACTCCTCCGGTCCTGCTGGCCACACTGTTTCTGACACAA